AGTTTCTTCAGCAAAGTATCTTATTTTGATCCCTAGTATCCGAAAATTATATGTGTTCAAGCGACTTTTAAATCGACCCGCCCTAATATATATTCTGAATCATTGGTAAAAGTAGTTCGCATTCCTGAGCTTTACCTGTGGTCATGGAAGGCATAAAACTCGACAGTAAGTATTAAAGAGCATTTATCTCATTTCCGTTTGTTACCGATATGCGGATAGTTGTTAACAGTGTGCCATGTTCCCTACTTTGGCAAAGAGCCTGTAGCTATATGTGCTGGCGCCCAAGCAGTTGAGTTATGGGTTAAAAACCTCTTCTTATATATGAATATATATATACGATCGCATAGCAATACCGCACAGAAACGGCGATGTATATAATATCTTAGAGCATGGAACATCGAGACAGCAATTGAATGTCATCCCTAATGCTAACAAATAAAAATGTCTGTGAATACACTATGTATATGATAATGTTTGCTTTGCAATGGAAGATTTTTTGGCCCGCACAATTGTGCTATAGAAAAATTATTGAGACTAAACACCGAATATACGATTGGCGTTCGAAGATTTTTTGTGAGAGCGATTTTTGTTTCAAAACAAATTCATATAACTATAACATCAGGTTCTATATTATTTAAATAAAGCTATAAGGAAGTATTTTTTCTAGATTTTGGAATATACATATAGAATTTGAATCCAAATTTTATCCGTATATTCTATATACGAAGAATGTATGCTACAAATTAGAGAGGGGTAACTCACTCCAGAGTTATCACTCCGATACAACTCCTCCCTCGGAGTGAATCCGAGTAGAGTTGTCTCACAGGATTTGTCATATCCGACTTCCCTAAACTGATACTAAATCTGTTAACATGTGCAAATATTTGCTCGAGATTTTTTACTAATACAAAGACTTGGGTCGAAAGAAATGGTTTTTTCTCTTGCAGCCAGTTTTAGGACTTTCCAGGTATATAATGTCTCAAAATAATGCTATTTTGTATTCTAGATTCTGTATACGATAATGTTCGTCTGTAAATGAGCTCTTTCATTGGTATACAACCAGCTAAAAAATATTTAGTATTATATTATAATTTTTATACTATTATAATTTTATAATTGTGTAAAAGTAATAGTATGCTAATCAAACTGCCTGATGTAATTCTCGAAAAGGAAATAATAATAGAATGTGAGGTATTATTATTTTGTGAAAAATATTATATACAAAAATCTGTTCTTATTTCATATATAAGGTTCACAGCATTATTTTTATATAAAAATAAATATATTCAAAAAATTCTATATTTTCTCTTTAAAAATAATTACAAAATTGATTTTGATTCCTAAGTTTTTTGTCAATATAAGATTTGAAAAAAACAATTACACTATGTTTAACTTGAGTTCAAATCTTAAGCCCGATTAATATAACAGACATAAAGCAAAATTTGCTACACTAGAACAATTAATACCTTCAATACTTTAGATGGACTGACTATTAAACTTTTCTATAAAATAAATTACTTCTAGGGAATCAAATTTAGGGAACAAGATTTTCACATATTACTTGAAATTTTTGAAAAAATTGCTTTTTACTGTATTGGTGATTATACAAATTCGTGCCAAGTTCGATTGTTGGGTGTAATTTAATTTGTTAAATAAATTCATTAAATAGAATTAAAGTTAATGTTTGCTTAGTTAAATACAGTAAATGTGTCAAATATAAATATAAATGTTTACATGTGAGCATAATTTTACTAGTAAAGTATATTTTTTTAGATGTTATTACATTTAGACAAAATTATATTATTAATTTCTATATTCATTGCAACATTGATAATATATTAAAAAGAAAGGATAAACTTTAGACGTATGCCTCTATAACAACTTTGTTACTACGGTTTTAAGCAAGTAAATAAAATCAATTCTATTTTAATGAACTATTTATATCGAAAACGCTTTAAAAAAACTAAAAGCAATAGTAAGAATGCGATCCATTAAGAGTTGCATCAATTGTATGATATTTATTTCAATTTCCTTCTTTATATCTGAATTGAGTTGAAATCATACTTTCACAAAACTGCTATTCGCACAAACACTTTATTTGGAGAATACTTATTTTAATACTAGTATTTCTGTACAATTGTGAAATATCAATACTAGTTGCATTAAGACAAGGTACACAACTTACATAAATAAATATATGTCTATAAGAACACTAAGAAATTCCTATGTATTCTAATACATATTCACAAAACAAAAGCACGCGAAACAAAGGGAAAACGATAAAAGCCTCGCCACAAATTATAGTTCTTAGAATTTTCTATACTGCTCATTATCATATTTCGAAAGCTTATTTTTGTTAAGAAAAATAAATTATTTAACGGTTGTTTGACAAGAATGTCATCCTTGCATAAGTTACATATATTTCGTATATGTACTCTACCAATCCAATTAAGAAATCTACGTGAAAGATTTATTGTTGGCTTTTCAAATTGCAGAAAACATTTTAGTTAATTCATTTCTACTATTTTATATACATTTTTATTTTTTTATGAAAAATGAATATTTTAGCATATCATTACGTATTGATGCATATGTGTATGGGTGTGTATGCACGGATACGAATTTTGTCGACGATTTCGAGAGCACAACCGATTTGAATATTCAAAAACATTCGATCCCTATTGAATGAAAGGCGTGCTGATTAGTCTTTGGCAGGTCCAGCCGTCTCCAATATTCGGGTCAAAATGTGCAAAAAATGGTAATATAGTTTTTGAGAAAACTAAGCGTCCGATTTAGATAAATAAAAAAAATCACTTATATTAACATAATAAAGAATTGATCAAATCTTTTGTTGAGGCAGATCCAGCAGTTTCAGAGTTCCCATAAAAAAGGTAAAAAAATGCAATTGGCGGTCAAAAATGATCATTAGACATATGCACATTAGACATTTTATAAATAATTGAATAATAAGTACAAATTTTGTTGACATTTCTACCAAGTTTCCGTACCAAGATTCAAAATGTTTAACCGTTGGTACCATATTTGACTCTGTGTTTAGTTTAACAAAATAAACGATATTGAATAAATTATGAAAAGTTTTCTCTAGTTTAATTTTGTATCTATCTATTTTGCCATTGAAAAGTTCAATTATAAGAAAAAAACAGTAAAATATTTGAATTATTTTATCTCTAGATCTTATTCGCTTAATTTAACTATAAAAGTATTTATTTATTAGAGAGAATGTGGTCAAGTTCAAAGAGCAGTCTAATATGGGCAGATCTGATACTACGGCGAGAGCAGCAAAGACTTAGAGACGGACGTACTCTCAATCTATTAAGGAGGTCTTCCTATGTGATGGGTTGAAAAAATCGATTTTTTTTCATAAATTGCTCCCTTAACATGTCTAGAATACGGTAGTAAAGCGATTTTAGAAAATTCGAAGTCGTTTTAAAGATACAGCAAGTAAAAGAAAGAGCGGTTCGAAGTAGTTTTTAACGAACTTGAAACTTTAAACGCGTTTTTCTCAAAACTGTGTTTTTCCAACTTTCCTCCATTGTATCTCAGAAACGGCCGAAATTACTTGAAACTTACAGGGCACACTCAATATATTTAAACGCATGGAATGAACTATTATCAATCGAAAATTTTCAAAACTTCGATTTTTTTTATAGCAAAAAACAAAAAAAAAACGCCTAATTTGCAACTTTTATTTCAAATGTCTATCAAAAATCCAATTTTTTTTATATTCATTTGATTATAGGTCATTCCGTGCTTTTAAGTCCACAAATTAAAACGACGTTTATTTTTTTTTTCAGATAAGCCGATCAGCGAGAATCGTGGAGGAAGCGGGAGCTCTTTTTTTCGAGGCGGGGGTGTTCAGAGCGCTGTAACTCTAGTTTGACTGAATATTTTTAGCTGAAATTTTATATTTATACTGTCCAAATATATGTTAATAAATGATAAAAAACTTGAAGCTCTAAATATTTACTGGTCGTAGAAAAAAAATCCTAAAATATCCCTAAAAAACAGGCCGTCACATAGGAAGACCCCCTTAATTTTACGAAAAAACGGCTTTCAAAAGAATTGTAAGAAATTTTATCTAGTTTAATTCGTACATAGCTACTTTTATCGTGGAATGAGCAGGAAAGGAGATATGTTAAAAAAGCTGTTTTTTGACGCCATTTTTTAATATGGCGGCGACTTACGGCAAAAATTTGAGGTGGCAAAGTTGAAATTCGTATAGAGCACCTTGAAATCTATAAGATTACCAATTTTCATAATTCTCGGACTATACGACGCGCCGCTACGCGCTACGATTTTTCGTCTCTAAAACAGCCAAACAGCGCGATCGTTTTAAAAAACTTCAAAATATTAAAATAATCTACTTCTTCAAATTTATCAAAAAAAAATCAAGTTTTTAAAACGTTTTTAAAATTTTCAAAATAACTAAAAAAAAATTAAAACTTTCAAAATTTTGAATTATATTACGGTAAGTTCCACCAATTTGCCTTAAGGCACGATGCTTAGCGCACCACTAGTTTATTCTATTTCAAATAAATGTATATGTAAACGTATATAACAATCTCGCGAGCGATCATACGAATTCTACTATCTCCTATGCTTCTCGCCGAATCTTCCAGATCCTTATCAAAATTTGCAATACCCCAAAATCGCGTATATGTCGAATATGCGAATGCGACCCATTCGTGCGTAAAGTAGTGTTATATGTACCGTACACACAATGGGAATGAATAAAATGTGTGATAGTTCTCGGGGCCATTTCGACGGCGACGCCGACCAAGACCAAGGGAGGTGGGAACGGAGATCAAGCAAAAGAATATACACTGCGGTCCGCGCGACTTATACTACGCGGTAGTAGTCGTCCAGTAGCGGCACAGTGCGGTCATAGTTCACAGACGCGCGAAAAATACGAGCACGACTGTAAAATAATTACACTTCAATCATCGGTGCCGATAGGTCAAGTGGTCTTAATTTGTCGAATTAGATATAGTTTTTCTTTGTTCGAAATTTGTTCTGGAGGGAGAAGGAAGGAAAGAATCAAAGGTGTGCCGATATCAACAGCGAGGACTTCCATTATCAAGCCGTTTATGTCTACGCCAAAGGTCAGTAAACAGTTTCAGCGAAAGTGAAACTAACGGGGTGCAACGTGATGCGAGCACGTTGCCGACCCACCGGTAAACAGAAGTTTGCGAATACTTCGATAGAAGCGTGGAAACATATTTCGCGTGGTTTCTTATATGTCGAATGACAGACAGACAAAAGTATTTATTACAATAATTGAGCATACATTTTGCATTGATATTTTTTATACATATTTGTCTACCCGTGGTATTTTATATATCATATATGATCTTAATGTATACAATAAATATTGATTGTATATACAATATGTTTGTATGCATGTACTAAAAAAGAAAAAATAAACTTTCTCTCAAAAAATACCACTTCTCTATATATTGATAATTATATATTTTGTTAACTCCCCTTATGAGAGAGAAGTCACATTTTCTTATATGTATTGTTTTAAATATCATTTAAATTACAAGTTGACTTATTGAAAGACATTCAGTAATTGATATTCATTAATTATAAATTTTATTTAGAAAGGCTACCCAGTGGTAAGCCTCTCTATTGTGGGTAAATTCTGTTACTATTTGTGACAAAACTACTAACAATATTAACACGAATACTTATTCTACTAATACTATACAAACATGTATTTATAATAAGCCTAGAGTCAGAAAAAAAGAAATGGCAATATATAAAGATAGAGAAGCAATATATAATTAAATTAAATTGAATTTAATCACATTTATCAATAAAACGGAGCTTTTAATTTTCGTGCTATTAACATTGTTTGAAAATTTTTAAATTTTATTGTTCCATTTTTTTTTTGTTATGTTTCGTTGTGTGATTGTCAACTGTAAAACTTGGTTACAAGTAACTGTCATCACTCTAATATTATTATTAATTTCATTTTTTTTCTCATATCGTAACAGCAATCAGAACCTTACGTGCCATATGCTGTTGGGCTGAAACTTCTCCTTACTTTGTATTATTAGATGGTAACCCAATGGTTAATCCATCCATATTTGATGATTTTATTATTAGAATTAATCTAATAGGGCTGACTTTTTATTGAGGCAGCAAATGGCAAGCAAGGGCTATTTTCACTTGGAAACATAAACATATTGCTATCTATATTTCCAAGTGAAAACCGTTATCACTACTGCTTGACAACAGGCTGCTCGAAGCGGGTCTCGAATCACGGACCTCTGAATCAAGTCCCGCCGCTCTTAACCGTTTACCTACGGGCGAGCCGTAATTTTAATTATTATATAAAAAACCAAAATATGAACGATATATACTATATTTCATTGCTGATTTTATATTTTAAGGTCAACCGTCGGGTTCAACTCATAGTCAACTGTTAAGTTCTGACTACTATTCAAAAGTAAATAATAATAAATATATAAATAAAAGAATCACACATTTCAGATTAATAAAAAATGGTTTCTTTTTTGTCAAAAAAATTAAAGAAAATACGGACAAAATATATGGACAAAATGCCAAAGTGGTCTTATTTAACTGGCTAGTTTTAATAATGTTTCCTCTTCAGTATAACGTTAGGAACTCTAATCACAACCTTGTCAGATGTTGAGCGTCATTGTCACAGCCTCGTCGCAGTAATCAGTTGAAACATGTATCTAGCATTCAGAAGTTTATTTTGAGAGTGGTTTGCTCATATTTTTTGGGGACTTTCATATTGTTATTTGCAATTACTTATATTACAATCAATGAATTTACGCCAGTACTTATAATTTCAATAAATTTTATTGCTATTATCTGTGTTTTATTGTTTTTATTTTAATTACGATCTGTCACACTTGGGACATTCACTTATTGTTTCGACTTTTCTTATTATATGAATCTTGAATGGATGGCAACCCAGTAGTTGCCATGCCCAGTTATGACTAATTATCTATACTCGAAGTATTTGCTGACATTTAATTATCTGGTGTTTGATAAAATTTTGATTATTCTTTTTTGGTCAGTTTCGAAAAAAAAACATATTTATACAATAAACAAAATGACATAGTACTTATCTACAAGAACTACAGGGTAGTTTATTCGAGGTAAATAAAAAAGAAAATCGAAACCTGTAAAACGTGATTGGTTTATAACTGTTACTCTAAATACTTCTACAAATGGACCAAAAGATCCGCCGGTAAAGAGAAGAGGTTTGCATTTGTTGCAAAACTCTTTTCCCTTTCTAAAACCGGCGAAAGTTGGTTACGATGTATAATTTTTCCTTTGGGCTCATGCTTCATGTGCTGATGCCCCAAAAAGAACCAAACGATTTAATTAAGAACCGTCTTCTTGAAATTTTGTATCTCAGCATGTCCTTACCTTTATCATTTTTTCCTTCATAAATATGTTATTATATTTTTTACTTAATTAAAAAACTATGTTACTGTTAGCCAATGAATATAAGGGGGCGTCCATATAATCACGTGAGATTTTTAGGGGGAGGGGGGGTTTGACAAAAAATCACAAAATATTAGGTGGGGGAGAGAGGGGTATAGTAAGATATCACGTGTATTTATTTTTTAACTATTTTTTTAAAAGATCATTATCAAAAAAAAAAAATTAAAAAATTACAGTTTTTTCACGAAACTAAAAATACACGTGATGTTGGTGGAGGAGAGGGGGTAAGTATGAATATTACCATGTGCAGCAAACGTGGAGGGGGATCCAAAAATCGTTAAAAACTCGCTTACTTGATTAGTGGACGCCCCCTAGGGCGAGTAAAAACGATTGAGACTGATTATAATATCATTAAATAAATAAATACCAATAGAAGACAAATACCATTGTCATTTTGTCCGGGATTGTTCTATTATTTGCAACTGTTGCACACTTGCATGGGTAAAAATATTTGCATATCTTTTAATTAAATAATAATTCTAATAAATCTATTTGATTACAGAGCCATCTTTGCAATTTCGGAGAGGTCTGAGCGCGGTATAAAAATCGCGATGGACCGATAGCGGTACGCTTAACATATCAATTACGCGAACGATCGAACAAGCAATCGATCGTTTAATCGCACCAGATTCGTGACCAGCACCAGATTAGCTATGATTTCTGGAAACATTCGGCGGAGACGATCTCCGCTCCTCGTGGCCTTCGCCCTGTTACCTCTGGCCGCGCTGATGCGCTGTTCCGATGTGGCATCGTGCCCGAATTGTATTCATTCGCCAGGCGAAACGCGCGAACCACCTGCGGGATCGGCGGCGGCAGACGCGATACGACTAGAAGCAATTAAATACAGAATACTTTCGAAATTGGGCCTGAAGCAGAAGCCGGATGTCAGCAGGGCGCTTCCGAGGGACGTCGTGTTGAAGACACTTTACCGCGCGGAAGAGATGTTTTCAGGTAGTTTCATCGTTCTTAAAAATCCCGAATATGTTTTGCTGTTTTATATGCTCATATTATAATAGTCACTAATACCCGTTTTGTATAATAAATTATCTACATATAAGACCTTATTCGTTAAAAAAATTCAAGTATTTTATATGCGGACTCATGCGCAAATCAGAAAAAAAGCATCTAACATTTTGAGCTACATTTTTTTTTATTAAGAAATAATATCAATAAGAAATTTCATTTGTATATCTTGTATATAAAAATGGAGCACTCGATCAAATGATTCGGTGAAACTCGAAAACGGCTAAACCGATTTGGCCAGTCTTAGTCTTGAAAAATTCGTGCCAATTCAAAGATGGTCGGAAAGGTGAAATAATATTTCAAAATCGCGTAGACACTTTACATTTTTAATTTGAAATTTTTTGTAGAAGCGTAATTTGAATAAAACAATGAACGGTGGCTAATACGTCAAATGTCAAACGTTTTTGATAGATGATGTTCAATTAAGTTTAATAGGAAGTTAATTATGAAATATATAAATTGTAAGTAGTTTTGTTTGTAATTTTATTTATATACAAAAACGTTAGTAAACGGACCGCAGGTGTTACTGAAGACTCAAAATATCAACTTTTTTGAAATGTTAATATGAAAATGCACTTTTTGGCATATTTTTCTCAAACACGGTGCTCTGAAAGATCTCATTTGTATAATTATATACTCGTTGGTACTTATAAAACATGTTCTAGGTTATATTATTTTTTATTTATGTTATTTAAATTCAGAACATAAATTTGGTATCGATCAAATGGACATTTTGTCGAATAATATTTTCCCAGTTATAATTTCCCAGAATTTATCGAAGAATAATATTGTAATATATGAAGGTCCGGGGTTAAAAAGGCCCACCACCGATGTGTCAAAAATCAGTAAAGTTAAGCATTGTTTAACAGCAATATTTGAAAGTTGAGGAAAAAAGATGTATAACCAGCTATACCCCTGATTTGGAAACGGTAATCTTTGAAATAGGGAAGATAAACGGTAATTTTTGAAAATCCATAATAAAAGTATTTTCTTCCTGTTGGTAGTTTTTTAGCATTAGTTAAAAATGTAATTATTTTGTAAAATACCTTTAAAATTATAATAAGGCTTTAAACCTTTTTGCCACCTGCTCGTTTCAAGTTACCCCGCCTATAGGGTAAAAAGGTCTAGAAAACAAATTTTTGAAAGACATTAAAAAATCATTTCTACAATGAAGTAGAAGGCAGTTTACTGAACGTAGTCAGACAATTGTTCGTTTAATATATGTTACTTGTTGTGATATAATTGTTATGGTTTTCACAATACAGTTTATATTTGCTCAAAGTCAAATTGGACCTTTGTGCCTCGCCCTGGTCTACATATATACTTTTTATTAAATTTCCTTTAATTAATCAAATGTTACTTGAAACTTCTCAAAGAGCAGGTCAAAGAAGAAATACTTAATTCATTTCCTATCTCTCCTCGCAAAAATTTGAAAATTTTGTATAAGCTCAGTAGTATTATTTACAATTATACACAAAATCCAGAATCCAAAAAGAATCTGGAAAACTTGAAATGTAATCAATAAGTCGAAAGATCAAAAAAGACTTGGATTGGATTGTACCAGATTTTCTATAGAAACTTCCAAATTGATTGTATTGACAAAATATAGACAAACTAATGGGGTTTATTGTTTTTATAATACTTCATTGTATATAGCATTCAAACAACACATTCTTATAGACAAGTATTAATATTTTTGATTCTCTAGAAATTGTTTAGAATATACCTTACTTAGCAAAACAACGTTTGCCGGGTCAGCTAGTATAATATAGATTTACATATGTACTTTAAATTAAGCTTCTTCGCCAAGTACGAGTTAGTAATTATTCTTACTTTTTATATGATGTACTAGTATTAGTTTCGTTCATCGTGTTGATTAATTTTTTTTGTTAGATGATTTCGCTTCTAATTTAGCTAGCTAATTTAAAAGTAACTATATTTAAAAGAATAGTGAAATATTTTAACATTGAACACATCTGGTGATATACAAAGAGGGCAAATAATAATTGAATGAATTAAAAGGCATGTGTGATATTTTGCCTTAAGGCAAGTTGCATGAATTTCCTGATATATTTCAATAACCCTCTTGATTAATAAGAATTATTATTAACTTGTGGCGATAAAATATTCAATTTTAAAATTTTAAAAACTAATCAATGTGATTACCATTCGATTTAGAATACATTATATATCATCTAAGTCCCTAAAAGTGTATTTTAAACAGCCACTTTTCGAAGGCCTAAAATTTTTCAGGATGTTAGTTTGCAAAAATTCATTTGTATGATTATCAATTTTTTGTAACAATTGAAGAAAGAAAACAGTCGATCTTTACAACTAATGAACACGATTCTGAACTGATACCTTTCGAACGATTTTTGAATTTGTGAAATTGGTTTAGGCTAATTATAGAGATACGACTCGACCAATCAACGCGAGCCCTCGCCGAGTTTTATGTAATAGACTTTTTTGTGAAAACCTCATTAAAATGTTAAATTTTACCACACACACACACACATACGTTGAAAGTTGAAACTTTTTCGGAAAATTAATAAACAGTAAGTTTTAGTAATAATAATTTTACTCATGGGAGATATAAATCATTTAAATTTTAAAATTAACATCAATCAAATAAAATTGCCATGGGTACAGCATTTTTCTTCAGAAACGCGTAAATTTCGAACGCTTTTCGGAATAGAAAATAGGAGATAGTTGGCATTTCGTTTTTATGTTTGTTATATCCAAATACATAGTATATTTTATTTAAGAGTATATACTTAATGCTTGAAATATCCCAATAGGATAGAAATGCGATAGAAGAAAATATTAATATTGAATTCTATGTTAAAATGTAAAATCGTCTGTTCGAGAAATCAGAGAAATTATTTGATTATATGCAGTGGTGTTGTGCTAATATTTTTTTTGCCGGAACGCTAAAATTTGAAATCCGGTTCAAAAAATTTGATATATTTCGATAAGACCTCACAAATGTAATATATTGACTTATTATATAATTAACTCTATTATATACAGCTAGTCTATACATTAAATTGTACAAGTATAAGGGAATCATTGAGTAGATAATTTATATTCTTCAATGACATTAATTATATTTATTGTGGTATTATTTGTATTCATTATTACTTACAGGTATTTATTATGATATAAAAGTACTCAAGATTTATTACAATACTTTATAAGACTTAACCTAACAATATGATAGATAACCTATTACCTATCTTACTATACTATATTATTGTATATCATATATAGATATCTATTCTATCCATCATGCCGTGAGATACCTATACCCTCATTAACTTATTATATACCTACATACCTTTTACTTCTTATAAATACTATTGTCTAATTTATATATTCACCTATATTATATAGGTTTACCTTACGCCCTATGTATTATCTCTACCTATTATATATATTATCTATTGTCTATACCGGGAATTGAACCCGGGACCTCCGCGTGGAAGTCGCGCACCTTAGCCACTACCCTATCGGGTACCCCCATTAATAATATAATATGGGACGCACTGTTGTTTCCGCGGGTCATTTTCTAATTAATTAGATAATTAATACTGAGGTGGCGCGACGACACGCGAAAAAAGACGGTTGATTGTAGTGTTACGGTGGTATAGTGGTTAAGGTCGTCGCGTTCCACGCGGCGGACCCGGGTTCGATTCTCGGTAGGGTTAATGTAGCGTGTAAAAAAAATATAGGTAATAGGATATATAGTAGATATAGGTTAGGTGTATTCGGTATACAATGTAGGGATTTGAGAGTATGTGATGAAATATAGCGCATGGTATATAGATGTAAGGCATGTAGTATAGAATGCAACGTAAGGCTATAGAAATACACGAATATGAACCTATGATGTAGGTGTTAGCGTATAAGAAATGCGAATTTATATAAGATTATAAGATAAGATGAGATAAGAATTATAAGATAAGATTTAATTTATATCTATTATTTTTTCTATAAGAAATTTTATCTCGGTATTAAATATCTAAAATATCCGTTAAGGCGTCGATTACACCTTACTGCTGCCTTTGCCGTTATCACTTCATAAAAAATTAATTACTGCACTTTTAAACGAATGTGTGCACTATGCGACAATAGACATAAAACTATAAATTTTATTAAATGTTTGAGTAACTTTTGCGAGCTGAATTTCTTAAGGGGGTATTCTACTGTAGAATTTTGAAAAAATCGAAAAAAATTTTTTTTCATATTTTCAAAGTTTAGTTATTCAGAAATATGTCATTAAAAGGATTTTTCAAAATCACTATTATTTCCTGAGTTATATCCGTTTAAGTGACGTGGCCTCAGTTTGGGTCCGACCGAGTCTCAAAACTTTGAACGCGTTTTTCTCGGAACTACTTTTTTCGAGCTGGCGGTAAGGATATCTCGAGTTCTAATGAACCGATTTACTTCAAATTTGGAGAGGATCTTCTCCATACATCGCTTTATCGCATGGACCTTTCCCAAAACTATAACTTTTCATTTAGTATTTTTAAAAATTCGGAATTGTTAAAAAAAACATGAAAAAAAATTTTTTTTTCAAACTGTCGCCATTCAAACAAAATTTTTTTTTTAACTTATCCAAGGTTCATACGATAGCGGCATCTATAATAATTAAGAATCCATCTATTTTTTATGTTTCGGATCACCAGGAGGGTTGGAACCATGCACCACAGGACGCCCTTTTTTTTTTTGAGCCCCCACTTTGGCTGCTCATAACTTTGTGAATTCTATTTTTTTTTTATTATTTTTTTTATGTAATAATAAAATATCAATAAACAAATCATAAAAAATCGATAGTAAAAATATAATTTGTTTCGTTTATACAGCGCTTCAAAAACCGGCCAAAATTCATGCTTCTACAGTAGAATACCCCCTTGGTGTTCTTAGTCTCGCAACTTACTGAATTCTAAAAATTCTAAATTTAAAAATATAATATAAAAATTATTATACCGCTGTTTGGGAGGTATGGCAATTTATAAATATACAGACTAATATATACAGAATTTGGAATTTTTCTATAATCCGTAATATTGAGAAAGTTTGCATTAGACCTAAAAAGGGATCCGTATTTACCTAAGCTATGGAAATATATATGGAAAAATTACATGATTTGCACATGCGTCCTGTGCTTACTTAGACTAAACAATGATCATAATATGTTTAACAATTTTTTAACAGTATTTACAAATTATATTCAAATCACCCAAAGCAAGTGGGTTAAAGTCGTGTAATTTTTTAATTTGCCTTCCCCCTCTGAATTTAAAAATGGATTTTTCTGTGGGGCGAGCGCCCCACGTTGGGAATTACTAGTCTAGGAGTACAATTTTTTAATCTACTACCAGGTTAAAATAATCGAGTGATTCCACAGAACCTTCATCAGATTTTCAAAAGATCAAAATTTCTATGAATATGCATACAAATCTCAAATTGTAGGCCGAAATTGAGACGATAAGTCTATTGAAATATCAGGGTAACTCTTTTGCTATAAATTGTCAACTAATTTACCACTAAATAAATGTCAATAAAACAATGATTAAAAAAAATTACCAATAGATCTTGGAATGTCAAAATTTACAAGCGATCGAACGGCTTATATTTTTGCCTTAGATGGCAAAAAATTCATCGAATTATTAAAATATTATTTTTTTTAATTTAATTAAAAGCAAAAGAGTTCTTATGCTTTTGTATTTATAGAATTGCTTTTTTCGCTACAATCAATTTCCATTATATGAATGTCTTAAATTATTTATTTTATTCGACTAACGCCCGCTATGTCCGAAACAAGTCCAACTTATATCCGCAATATTAGGGTGTCGGACACTTTTCGGTCTTAAAGTAACATATGTGAAATTTGAAATACACTACTGTATTGTAATTAATATTTCAGTTCATACACCTCAATTTGTTACTAAATTAAAAACGACTTTGATAAAACCAGTGGTGTTGTGCTAATATTTTTTGCCGGAACGCTAAAATTTAAAAACCGGTTCTAAAACCAGTTTTCATGTTTTTTCCGGTTCCGTTCGAAAAGGAAAGAAACAAAAATTATTACAATACCCATTTTGTGCACATGTATGTATGTGTATTACAATAATAACATTTAATAAAAATTAGTTGAATAATAACGTATAAAATTTACTTATTAAATCATTTTCTGTATGTAGCGATTTTTTTATATTTTTTCTTGCCGGAACGCGTTCCGCCCCAAAAATGATTTGCTGGAACGACGTTTATTACAATAATAAGAACATTTAATAAAAATTAGTTGAATAATAATTTATAAAATATACTTATTAAATCATTTTCTGTATGTAGCGATTTTTTTATATCTTTTTTTGCCGGAACGCGTTTCGCCCCAAAAATGATTTGCCGGAACGACGTTCCGCTTCAAACTGTTGTAGTTGTTACTAATTATTATCAAAAATCAAAACCTTTTTTAACTAATTCATTACCTGTTATTAGTATACAACCATTTTTTTTGTATTTATATTAATATGTTATATGCTATAAAAATGCTATAACTATTTTTACAACATTGTGTATTGTGAATTATGATATATGGACATTATGAAATTGCAGAAGGATGTCCAGTGAATCTCATCGTGAATTATGAGATATGGACATTATGAAATTGCAGAAGGATGTCCAGTGACTAGCATGCTATAAGTGTTTAAATACGTGAAATATTAATGGCGTTTTATTCCAGGTATGCATCATCATCACAATCCTTCGTCGCCGAAACCACCTCCACAGCCTCCAGTCGAAAAACCGACCACCACCGACCGAGAGGAAGAAGACGCCGGCGAAGGACAAGAAGATGATTTCTATGGACGAACGCGCGAAATAATAACATTTGCCGAACAAGGTACGTATGGCGAATAAGTGGTCACGTGCTACTTCATGGTACGGTAATTAAACGAGCTACTATTTTCAATAAATTGTTAATTCTACTATTTTTGAATCACATTATTTTCCTGATACTTCAACAGTATTCAAAATGCAGTAAACCCCGTTTAACGATCATACACGTGAAAGATTCATTAAACTAAACATGGAACCCATTCACACCTGCATCTTCATAAGTATTCTCTTCGAATATATGTTAGGCGAGACTTTTTTATAATATATGAATAAATAGTGTTTTACACACTTTATTGAAAATATGTACTCGATTTACGATGCAATTTTTGTTGTGTCCAACGATGATCGTTGATTATATGTGAATTCTTAAACGTTAACTTGAACAATCAGAACTTGTTCTATACGTAAGCTAATAAAATATATATGGATGCTGAAAATATACAACGACAAATTATTGAATGTATATCTGACAATGAGAAGATAAATAATCCTGTATATTGGACGCATTTGGTAAGTAAGGTATTGGGTATGTGTCGTTCGTGAAATTTTAGTTCAAATATTGTCAGTGTTTGTGTTAATGAGCTCATTATAAAATTATTTTAAATGCTTTTTAATACTAATCATATCAACTCGTTTAATTTTTGAATATGTAATTATTTTAAATTTAACGATATAAATTAGCGACTTTTAGTACTAAAAATTAAGGTGTTTCTATTACAATTTCATTCTTATATCCTAACATCAATCAGAACCTTTAACTCCTTATGAGCTGTTGGATTGAAACTTCTCCTTACTTCGTATTTTTAGATGGTAAAACCCAATGGTTAATCCATCCATATTTGATGATTTAATTATTAGAATTTGTCTAATAAGGCTGACTTTTTTTATTGGTGCAGCACTACCGGGTGAAGGCTATTTTCTCTTAGAAACATATTGCTAGCTATATTTCCGAATGAAAATTGTTGCCACTGCCGCCTGACAAAAGCCTTCACGAAGTGGGTATCGAACCCGGGACTTCTGAATGAAATAAATTACATAAATTTCTATTTTTGATGGTTTTAATCTACTTACAATTTTGTCTGAAATTTATTATATTTTTAGAAAACTGCAATAATTTATCGAGACTTGGTTTTCGATTAAAAACCATAATAAAAAGCTCTCGAAATATTATCTCGCGTTTGATTGTAGAAATCCTTTTATATATTTATATCAGATATTTACATAATCTAATGGATGCTAAAAATATTGAAAAAAGAATATATTAGAATATATTAACAGAAAATATTATAAAATTAAAAGTGCGATAAAATAATGCTATGTAATAAAAATAAGGTATGATTAGTATTAAAAACTATTACTTTTCTCAATTAACTTAAAGCATATTTGTGTATCAATTCCTTTACAACGACACTGACAGTATCGATATAATAAAAATTTTAACAACTAAAAAATATATTCTTTTTGTGCAAGACGAGTTCGTTCAGGACACCAGTCATGGAAAATAAACACCTCTGATTGACAAAAAATTTCTGCTGTAAAACATCAAGATGTACACACAAGAGGTAAGAAGAAATTTTCATAATCCTAGTAGACTAATATTACATTATGTTCGAGGAGAAAATATTCATTAGAAGTAATATACGTTTACTCGTATAGAATATTAATGAAACTTTGCATGATAGAGCTGGTAGCCAAAATGTATGACAAATATTATATGCTTATGGAAAGTGATATAAAAATTGATAATGGTCAGAATGCTTTATATAAGCTTTTGCCTTTTTAGAAGGCTTTCCGAATATTCTGTAAATAATTGATATAAATAGTATATTTAAAAAATAAGTGCATAGAGATCATGCTATAGATATAACAAATTATTTGCAGTGAAGCACATATTATCAGTACTGAACAACATCGAAGAATTTGTTTCTTATAAATTAAAAATTTATAACAAAACTAGAAATAATTATGTTTCTGATGAGTTTGTAACCAAATAAATCCCTTAAACAAAAAATGTATTAAATAATTCTCCCGTTGGACAGATTTGGCGTCAATTTCTTACTTACAGTTCTTTATTTAAAATACGCGTCGTTTTTTTTTCTCAATGTTTAAAATATTCTTGACTTATCATAATAAATTTGAAAACTCAAAATAAAAACAGTATAAATTTTGTTGCGATCTTGTTCATAGATAAACAAATATGATCTTGTTCTAATATATTTGTCTGATATCTATGATCTACAACATACCTATACACTATAGAATATGTAATTATTCAAATAATTGTATATGAAGTTTAATCGAATGAAGAGAAGTATGTGGGTGCTTCTAAAATTTTTATTCATTTATCAATTTAAACATTTTAGCAATTGTGGCGATGATAAAATATCACAGTATGAGAAAATCAAATATTTTGCGTTTTTGAATAATAATTTCTCAGCGGTGTTTTGAGAATAAAAATAATAGCCTAAAGCGTAGATGGAAGTTTATCTAATTTATCAATTCAATTATTCTGGCAAGAGCGCTGAAATTTATCAGGTCGTTCTTGCAAATAAAGGTTCATAATATCGGGTTTATCTGATGTCCACGTTAAAATTCAAATCTAACCGTTAGAAAATTAAACTAATAAAAAGCTTAGCACCATCCTTCGAAAATCAACTGCACTTCGTTACAATGTAGGTTTGGAGTTGTGATACAAAATATCTGAACCAGTAAATAAAATCTCGGTCGCTAGATACTTTAAATAATTGTATAATGATTGTCGTTCTCCTAAATTTCAAATAAGTTATTACAAAGTTTTAGTTAAATTTAAATTACTAAAATTTATTCATATCAGTAGTATGTGTCTTTAGGGTTTTCACTAATATCAAAAAATAAACTTAACCGATCCAACATTTTTTTTATTAACTCTTATTTACAACTGTCCAGTAAAGGACATTCAGTAAATTTGATGAATTTACAATAGTCGGCCGAAAAGGGACATTGTATACTACATTGACATGTTGGAAAAAGCCGTAATTATACCTTTGCAGAAACTACTTCTTGACTAATAATTAGAATTTTGATACAAAAAAATCTAATTTCATAAAATTCAAGTAATACAAAATTACTAATTACAAATATGAGTCTAAGGCATTCTAAACTAGAATAAATAATCAAATAAATTGGACTAACTTTAGATCAAATATACTAAGACTGTTTTTATCTATAAGGAATTTTCTTATTTAGCTTAACAATTGTATAATTGTATCATATAAATATTTTCTGTACTTGAAGAGAGTAATAATTTTTCATATATAAATGATATGCAGAAATCAAAAGTATGAAAACGTTAATATAGAGTAATAGAAAATTGATACTATAAACACGAATTTATATTATTCAAGTAAGTTCAATCAATTTAATAAAAAAAAAAGTCATATCATATGTGAAAACTAATGTTTTTATTTAAAAATCTTCAACAAAATTTTCAAAATCCAAAGTGTCAATAACTGTTTTTTCTAAATTAAAATGACGCTTCAGGCGTTGGATTCCTTGGTTAAAAGCTCTACATATAATGATCTAAGCTATAACCAGCAATATTCTACGATTATAACTGATACATCATTCAACAGTTCATTACATAAACTAAATTTACAACTTCTCATTTTTATTTGTATGTAATTCCACTAGTGGATCTAAAATTTAAACACAGCGGAAATAAATCAATTCACTAAACATTTTAACACAAACATGCACAATTTTAAACTAACGTTAATTCATCATATAACAACTTTTTGCAAAAATTGAAAGAAAAAACAAGAATAAATATTATAGTTCAAATAGAGTATTACAAATTTAATAACCCTCGAGCTGATCCTTGTTTTAATAATTTTCTTGCTGTTTCAAACCATTCTTATTCAAGCAACAATAATGTACGTAAATGAACATCTCAAAAAAAAAATTATAAATAACCAGCTTTTATTAATATAACAGTATCTGCACATATTTAGATAAAAACAGTTATAATAAAATTAAACGCAAAAGAATTAGGATATTATTACAGACAAAAAAAGCCCTTTGTAAACTAAATTAAACGATAAATTTTAATAAAATGATTATTTATATTGGCACAAATTGCTCAATTATGATATCAATTAGATCAAGAAACTTATTGTACATCACATATTTTGAAAATATCAGAAAATTAATTATGTCTTATGATGATTATATTTATGTGGTCATATCTCATGGCAGTACTAATTAAAAGATTAAAATGTGCAATTCATCTTCACAATACTTTCCAGATATTTATTGGCATTTATTATATTTTACTTGGTGGTTGAGATGTAATATTCAAATTAAAAGAAGATTTATAAGTGATACAAAGAAAGCCAAAAAACATTGAATGAATCTCAATATAAAAGATTCTGACCTATCTGTATCTGAATTATGTACCTTTACCTAACTATCAGGTAAAAGTTCATATTTCAAATTCAGATAGGTCAGAATCCTTTATATCAAGATTCATTTCATGTTTTTGGCTAAAATAATATTTTATCTAATAGATAAAATGGAAATTTCCAATTCAATAAAAATTGACTATATCTCGTTCATTTTAATGTCCACTATACGTTAGCATATAATAATAATATGATAACATTGATAGGTTAACCATAATTCACAAAAATTACATCAGACTTTGTTTAATGTTAACGAAAACTGCTGAATATCTGCCAAAAGAGAGTCTGAAACTTAAAATTAAGTTTATATAAATGTTTTCTAAAGTCATTATTCAATATTTAAAATACTGCTTATACATCAAGCAAAGGTCGAAAACTTAAAATAATGTGATAGTAAATGTTTCTATTTTTTATGCTTCAAGGGATGTTAAGATTAAATCAACTCCTGCTGGACGTTTGTGATCAGGTGAAAACGAGTTTTTCATTTTTGAGCGGATCAGTTTTTTTTTTTATTGATTATGATATATATTCAATGCAAAAATTATTTCTAGAGTTAAAATTTATGACAAATGAGCCAAAAGC